CAGAACCCCTCTCGGATTTTAATTGATGTCTTGTGTCACCATAAGGCCCCGTTCACACCTGTGCGGTTTGATCGCGCCGACATGAACAATCCAATACATTCCTATGAGGACGTTCATGTGACCGCACGATCAGAACCGCCTGCCAGCCGAAATGCTCTCTGAGCCTTTTTATCCGTGCATGGATTCCATACAGATTTGAATGGTAACGCGCTGATCAATGAGTTTTTGGGCGTTTTTAATTGTGATTCAGCGCTAAAACGCAATTAGAAACAAGCAAAACTGCCCTTTTAAAATTTGCACGGAAACCGCGCTGAAATGCATCCGCCCTGGTATGAATGGGGCCTTAGGGAGATTTCATCTCACTCCATGCTGTGTCTGAGAACTGTCATCAGGACAGGAAGTAAAGGGAAGTTCACCTAATGATTAAGGGGCCCATGTATGGCCCCAAAACCTGCTTCTTCATTGATTTTGCAGTGCCATCCACATTCATTTCAGCACCCACTTCAAGGGGTTTCCAGTAAGGAGTGCGGACAAACACAGGAAGCAATAAAACATTTAGCAGAGGTCCTACCCCTTCCCCATTTTACGTTTTTGGCTAGAGTTGGTCTTTAAGAATGTCTAATGATGAATGTACAGCAGCCACCCATGGAACAGGGGTGCAAACAACATCATCGTGTCCCAGCAGATAGGACTAAGGCTGTGCAATGAATTCACATCACCATCAGCCACTGTATCTGCATGGGAATGTTTTGTTCCATCTCATGTCTGTGTGGGTTGCTTGCACTTGCACTACTTCTAGTATGGAGTCACAGATGTCAACAGGATCAGGTCAAGTAGTGGAACGTTTGACATTAAATTGCTGTTTTACGTATCAATTGGTAATGAATTTATTTCATAGGAACAGCTTCTGATCTTTCAGGTATTGGAAAACTCATTAATTGTTCTTTTTGTTTTTTTTTTATTTTTCAGGGATATTTCTAACAACAACATTGAAACTTTGGACCAAGAACTTTTTGAACAATTGCAGTATCTAACAGAAATGTAAGTGTATTTACTAAATCTTTTGACTATTGGTAAATGGTGATGTACACTTTGGGGGGTCTATTTATATCCAACATGCAGAGCCATTCATCCTGCAAATTTTTCTCAACGTTAGTTCTGTGCGAATAGACATAAAAACAAACCTTCTTGGAGATATGTTCTTCTCAGGTTTAAAATATATAATGTAATACTGCATTATGGCCACTGGGTGGAGCTGAGGAGCATAGAAAAGAGCTACTCATTTGCTGTGCTCTTCAGCTCCATCTGGTGGCCAATACCCAATATTACATTACATGCATTCCACTTGAGAAGAACATATATCTAAGAAATTTAGTTTTTGCCTCTATTTGCACAGAACGAATGTTTAGAGCGAGTCCTAAGGCGATTGGCTCTGAAAATTTGTTATAAATATACCCCTTGGTGTTCAGCACTGATGTAGATGACATTAACATATCGGCTAGATTGTAAATAAAGTGACAGCAGAGGGTACAGCTAGTTCAGGAAGTCAAGGGGCCCAAGCTTGACAGCTCCTACACATGATGTTGTAGTCTCTGTAGCATTTTGTGTACCCAAAATGTAGGGGTTGGTGTAGGAGATATTTAAGGGGTCAGTCCAGACTTTCCTTTGGTCACAGACTCCAGCTCTTTTTTGGGTAATACAAGGTGTTTTTTTGCCAGCATGTTCTGTAATTGGTATGGTACCTCCTCTCGAAGGAGCCACCCAGGTGACCTGTATAAGAGACCCATACTACCTCATTCTGATGACAGAGCAGATCTGCTTGTGAATGTTCTTCAAAGGGCAGCTTATTATCTCAGCTTGAATTCCCTTTCATCTGGGCTTAGAACCATTAGAGAGACTCATAGGATGCTTCACTCTGCTGTCTGATAATGACGGGCCAGCTGCTGTGTGTTTTTGGAGCCTGGGTTGTGGATAATACATATACTGTACAAGCTGATAATTGATTTGGATCCTTTGGGGCTCGTTGCAGAAACCTTAGTGACAATCCGTGGTCGTGTGACTGCCGTCTGTCATGGCTCCCTCGCTGGGCGGCTAAGAGTGGGATTAGCGTTGTGCAGGCGGATTTTACTGTGTGCGACCGGCCTTACGTGGCTTCTGGACAGCAGCTCTTCAATGTCTCTTTCTCCAAATTTCTGTGCGGTAAGTATACACTGAAGAAAGGGGTTGTCGAAAAGAACTTAAAAAAAAAATAAAAAATCTTATTTTTTGTCATTTTGATTGCTTAGGGTAAGGTTTTGGGTCTCATTGATTAAAGTACTAAAGGGTAGCCTATCTCTATCTATCTATCTATCTATCTATCTATCTATCTATCTATCTATCTATCTATCTATCTATCGAATATTAGAACAAAAGTGGAGGTGTTGCCCATAACAACCGTCAAATTTCTCTTATACTCTTATGTAGAGATGCATGCATAGATACCGGTCTTTCGGTATCGAGTATGGGTACCGATATTTATATTTCGATACCCGCTCATTACCAATACCGGTACTTCTGGTAGCATGGAACCGGCTTTCTGATTGCCCGGGAAGCTGGCTCTATGCTGTTCGGCTAGCTCCATGCTGATTGGCTGGGTCCATGCTGATTGGCCGGGTCCATGCTGATTGGCCGGGAAGCCGGCTTCCCGGCCAAACAGCATGGAGCCGGCTTTCTGGCCAATCGGGAAGCTAGGCCGTGAGTCATTACCCGTGGCCTGGCTTCCTGATTGGCCAGGAAGCCGGCTCTATGTTCCTTCACGGCACTCCTCCAGTATCGGGATAAGTTTCACAGCATTTGGGTGAGTAGGAGTACTCGCCCAAATCCTCGGTATCGATACTAGTATTGGTGCATCCCTAATTCTATGGAACAATTAAAGAATAATTTGCCTGTTCTTCTTCTTTTTCTTTTTTTTTTTTTTTTTAACAACTAGGAGCCCTAAAAATTACAAATGTGCATACTTTACAGCAGCCTTTCTCAACCAGGGTGCCATGACACCCTACGGTGCCGTTAAATCTTCGCATAGCACTATAGATTTCCATGATGCAGGCGAGCCAGCCGCCAGTACCTTGGAAACGCCTAATGCTAATTCAGGGTTGGCTGCATCCCGGACTTTACCCTGCATTCAGAAGAGGACAGAACTCCACCTTCATCCAGAGTGGCTCCGCTTCCCACCCTCAGCCATGCCGCTGCCGCAGCATGGTGGGGATTATAGGGCAAGACTCTGCACTTAAGGGGGACTGAGGACTATAAAGGGAGGCTTCTGATGTGAAGGGGGGACTCTGATGGCAAGGAGAACTTCTGATGTGATTTTTTTTATGTGGGGTCCACCTTGATAGCCATACTGGACCTCTTTCATGGATAAGGATCAGTTATAGATTTGGGGGGGGAACCACACATAATTTTTTACATTTACAATTTGTTACCTTTTAGACTGGGGGTGTCTTGAGATTTTTCATACTTTTAAAGGGCACTGTGACTAGAAAAAAAGGTTGAGAAACGCTCCTTTACAGACGCATTGCAGTGACGGCATTAGACAACCTAATCATCAAATATTCCAAACTTATTACATTTGCAACAATATTGGTAATTAAGTAACATTTTACTTTTTACATTTAGTGATATTTTATTGAGCAATGTGAGGGCAGGGTTGTATCATACTATTGCGTTCTGCACAAGGCTCAGAAATTGATCGATCTATCTGTCCATATAGATTGATGTCTATTCTCTTGTCTGTCTATTTAAAGTAACTTTATGTAGCTTTCCTGTTAAACAATCGTATTATTTATTTTATTTTCAATTTTTTTAGGATCAGATCTTATCTATTGTCCAACTAGTCCATCACCTGACAATGAATCTGTGTTGATCTTTGTATCCATCTCCTTGATTCATGCCAGTAATGAGACATGCAGCGCGCAATGCTATGCTGAACTCTACAACTTCTGGGCTCTAGACTCCAAGCATGGCTGCCTATGTGGTGACGTCGTGCCCTCTAATGTCTCTCTTCGGTGTCGGGAGGTTTGTGACACTCCATCTCTCCTGTTTGGCTGTGGTCTCACCATCATTCAGGATGTCCTCAGGACAGAGTCATTCAGCTCTCTGCATGCATCCAGTGACGTGCACCGACTCGGGGAAGCTGTGCACCTTCAGGTCGAGGCTCCGGTCCCTGTCACTCCTCTACTCTGGGATTTGGGGAACCAGGTATTCAGCACCAGCGAGGTGAGCATCACTCACAGATACGCCCAGCCAGGGGTGTACAATGTGACGGTGACCCTGAAGTTTGGCAGCAGAGATCTCCTCTTAAATGAAGAACTGCGGGTGGTGGGTATACCAGAAAAGGTAAAGCTCCTGTGCCCGTCCCTGGTCAGGACCAATGAAACTGTGGATGTCCGTGTGATGGCTATAGGAGGAACAGACGTGGAGGTTCAGTACACTGTAACGTCACAGGACGACATGGCTGGTAAGTTGGAAAATAATGAACAAATGAGCTTTAACAGGCAAAAAGCAATTTTTTTGCTTGTGATTCTTATCTGTAGTTTCCTATTAGTATAATGCAAAGAGCGAGTAGGGCAGGAGTGGACAAATTATCATGAACCCAGGGGCCAACCTGTTAAATCTTGGAGCCTGAAGCATTTTTTAGGATACAACATCACTGACAACTGGAGAAAACCTCAAACGTTAGTAGTCAGCTGGCATTTTTAGGGGACATTGCCTAACCGGCTCCTAGGATTTGTCAAGCCCTGAAGTAGGGAGTATATAGGGACCCTAACAGACACAAAAATGTATAGTAACTGGCTGGCTTATCAATACAGTATTGCACTGCATTGTTCTGAAGTGTTCTAAAGTAAAATAGATTCAGAATGAACAGGTTGCATGTAGTCTGATTCTAGAGCAGTTCACTGGTAACTAATGTGTGCCATAGACTGCATTGTCTTATGCCATCTTTCTTCCGCTCCTTTCCTCTGTTGGGGGTATACAAGGCCAGCTGCATGATTAAAGTCGCAGCATAAGAAGCTATGGCACACATACTCCTCTCTAACAATGATATTCTACACTTGCATTTTACAAGAACAGGTATTAGATGGCTGCACACCTCCCACTAATAATGCCCTTTGTCTTGAACCACCCTGCTTGCCCCTTCCATCATCCAGCCTTGTAAACCCATTGCAGATCAGAATGCATGTTCTTCTTTATTCCATCAGAATCAATACAGCATCCACCCCCTCTATTTGTCTTGGTGACCGTTATCACTGAAAGTGGGAAAATCCCAAATTTTGGGTTGTCATCAGAACAGGAATAGATGGGGAATCTACCAATGAGGACACTAGTTCCGTTGCCCTGCTGACCACGAGGGATTTCCTCTCACTTCCTGTTATGGTTTTTGGACAGGAAGTGAAGGCAAACCTCCCGAATTGAGACACAGATGTCAAAAAATGCTGAAATGGATTATAATGTTCCCTTACTCCATGCAAAACCAAAAAAAAACATTTTGGCTTCAGTTCTACTTGTAGATAGTTTATTCTTTGCCACTGACCCTATACAGTTTTGCAGATAATTACTTCTGACTTTTTCTCATATGCATACTTGGTCAGGTACCGTCACTCAGAAAGAACTGAAACTAGTGGATCATCACAACAGCCAGGCAGCTGGTATTTTAAGAACAAAGTAATGAGTGGCAGCCCCGTCATGACAGTTTTTCTTTAGGTTTGTTGCATCAAATTTTCAATGTTGTCGTATTCCACTAACATGGTGTCTCCTTTCTTCTCTTGAAGTGTCTCCTGTTTGTCCCCCGGGAAGTGTGGTGTACCCCAACAATAACCATTGTTACCAGTTGATATCAGAGAAGGCCGGTTGGTTCGAGGCTCAGAAGACCTGCCAGGAGTGGGGGAATGGTGACATGGCAGTTGTCAGCAGTTTGGAGTTGCAGAGTTTTTTGAAGGATCATGTTACCAGGTACTGTGACTTGTGGCAGACATGATCTACTGCAGTCAGGGACCTTAGCTGGGACATGGGGATTCCACTGGCACAGAATTGCACACCATAGCTCCAGAGATTAATTGAGCAGTGGTGGACTGACCTGCTACCTGAAGGTGCCTGCATAGTTCTAGCGTTAACATCAGTCGGCATAGCCAGTGGTGTTGGACCTGCGTCCATCAATGTTAGTGGTATCCTTTGTACTGACCACCAATTTAATGGCCATTCTTTCCTCTGACTATCAGTGTTAGGAGTCTTTCTCCCACTGATCACCACCAAAAGGGGCATTCTTCCCATTGACCACCAATGTAAGGGGACACTTCACCAGTGTAAGAGGCATGTTTACCATTGACCACCAATGATTGGGGGCACTTATCCAATGACCATCAATGTAAGGGGACACTTCACCACTGATTCCCAGTGTAAGGGGGACCTTCTCCACTCACCATGTCTAACAGGTAGCCCTTCTCCACTGACCACCAGTTTAAGGGAACCCCTCTTCTCTCACCACCACTAACAGGTGTCCCTTCTTCAGTGTAGTGGGACCCTTCTCCACTCACCACCACTACCAGATGGCCCTTCTCCACTAACCACCAATCTCAGGGGGCACTTTACCACTGACCACCAATATTAGCGGGCACTTTTCCACTAACAACCAATGTAAAAGACACTACACTTTTCACTGTCTGTATTTATTTTCTGGCCTTGTTTCATTTAATTATTGTAATTAAATAAAGTTTTTTTTCCTATGGAGCATGGGATATTTTGAAATTTGGTGTTTAAAAAAAAAAAAAGTGAATGATAACTGGAGGGCATATTACATACAAATATTTTGTAGTAGAAGTACAAATAATATACTTTCAAGGACAGGGCTGCTTGTTGATGGAAGACATCTCCGTCTTTTGGTCTCGGCCAACTATTGGGATATCGGATCTCAAACCACAGTGTGAGGAGAATTCCTGTGTATTCCTTGGACATGCCACCAGCTCAAGTTACCCTCTGAAGTTAGCATACAGTCCAAAGGTTTTTACTTTGGCTCTGGATAGATAGGGAAAAGTTATCTGCGAAAAATGTATCCTCACTTCACATTCTTATGATAATTGTCACTGCAACAATAAGTAACGTTCAAAATTTGATAGCATATGCAAACCCTCTGGGATATTTAGCCTCACTTTCTGTTCCAGAAACTGTCAAAGACAGATAGAACCTGCCTCATTTCCTAGCTGGAGGACGCCCAGCATCATCTAGCCTCACCCCCACAAGCCTTACTGTCCCTGGCCTGCTTCTTTTGGATTTGAGTTCTCTTAATTATGGAGCATTGTATATGGGTGCTACTTAGGGTGATCTTCATGCACCATAAGAACTATGGACTTGTATGGTAAATTTTAAAATGACAATGAAACCTTCATGTCCCCCCCCCCACACACTTTATTCCACCCCTTCTGCTTCTTCCTCCACCGCAGCCAACTTTAAAATGACCAGTGCTGCCAACCATGGGGACCAGTGATGTCACTCCTTTAGTCACATGGCATTGCTTTGACCTAGCGATTTGGCGGCTAGACCTGAGAGCTGTTATAGTGGAGGAGGTCACATGCTACTCCATGCCTGGAAGTGGCAGGTATTGACCTCCCTAGCAGGGGAGTGCTGGTAAATGAATATAGCAATGTCTCTCTAAGAACACTTCAGGGGCAGGGTCAGACTTCCTTACTCTCATTCATTACTGTATATTAGGGTCAGTTTACAAAGATAGTACACCAGGATAAGGATACTTATCTTCATAAAAGTGACTGTTATTTTCTGCTGAGACCAATAAGATTTGAAAATGACTAAAATAAAGATACTTATCCTTGTGTTAAATTGTAAAACAAGCCTATTGTCAGCTACAGAATAACTTTAACTCATTGTCTGCGGCATGCCTCATAATTGATTAGTCAGATTGGCGAATATACAGAGCATGTAAGAATAAATCCAGTTGTTAGATTTTATTGCAATCAGTCACATTATTTAAATCAATTTTAGGCAACCCCCAGTCAACCAACTCTAATTCCAGCATGCACTCCCATCTCCTGATTACTGTGCTAAGGAACTATACACACCATTAATTTAAATCCCCTTTTGATAATGGAATACTACCTTCAAGAGTGAAATTTTAAGTGTATGTAAAGCCAATTTTCTTTCCAGTTTTGGATCCAAAATGTGATGGAGTGTACCTTTTAACATACGGTATTATGGCCTTTGCTGAATTGCTGCTCCTCTGGCCAGAGCTGTTTTAACTAACTAGGCTTCATCGGTGCAGGAGACGCTCAGTTCAGATACAGAATCACCATGTACCCAGAATTTGCTTCTCCTGTCCCGGAGCATACTGTGTGAGGTTCCTCTATAACGATGTGTGGCTCTGGGCCTCTTGCTTGATGAAGTTCTGGATTTTGCAGATTATTTGCTCAGTCTCCAGAGCGGGAGGCAATGTGCAATTTCCTCCCCAGCAGCCAGCCAGCTCCTGGCACAGGCTCCTGTATACACATTTCCCTACAGCAGCTGTGCGCAGCCCTCTTCCAGCTCCTCTCCGAGGCCCCAAAGGCAACTCGTTTCAGCCGGTCTGTCCTTGGCAGTGGAGGATTCTGGGAGAAGAGACACATGTGCAGCCTGGAGTTAGACATTCTCCCCGAAGCCAACTGCCCGAAGAGCTGTACTGCTTGTTCTCACTATCCCAAGCAGATGGCCAGATAGGAAGAAAACATATACAGAGACAGAAGTCAGCTACACTCAACATAATTAATTTCCTTGTGGACGGGAAAGTGTCATCCTGACTTTCGCACACACTGTGGGGTGGCGCTGCAAAATAATCAACTTTATAAATGCATTGTATGGTCAGAGATTTGTGGATGTCTGGCTAGAACACCTATTACATGATCAATAGTATGTAGACACCCCTCCCAATTATTAGGTGCTTTCAGTGAAAGGTACTGTTAATGCTATAACAGAGAGCACCAATGTAGTGCAATAATAGATAGCTGGATACATGCAGGCTGAATGAAAAAAATCTCACAGACTCCTTCCTCCATGCCAATAGCATGGATTGACAAATCTCCCGCTGTGTCCTTTGTATTCTCACAGCGGCACCCTCCACTGTCAGAATACCCAAACAGCTCTTGCAGCTGGCATCATACGGAGAAACCATAAGTTGAAGATAAGCCACCAGCACTCCATATGTGTCAATTAATAAGGTTTGATTTATACACAATGCGTCAAATGAAAATACATATTTCCAATATTTTGAGACCACGCATCGTCCCTTCCTCAGGGTGATATGTTACACTGAGGAAGGGATCCTGCACAACCCTGAAACGTTGAAACTATGTATCGGATGTGATGCATTGTAAATAAATCCAAGCTGGGTAATTCACACTTATGAAATGCTGGGGCTGATCTTCAGCTTATGGTTTCTTCTACCATAGAAGCTTCTTGCTGTCTATCAGCATTTTTTTTTTTCTGTGCGCTCAGCCACACATGCTCAAGATTGGGCACGGGCTCAGCAAAATTCGGCACAGCTTTAGCAAGATTCAGCACAGGTTCAGCAAGATTGGGCACAGGTTCAGCAAGATTGGGCACAGGTTCAGCAAGATTCGGTCCAGGCTCAGCAAGATTCCTGGTGAGATGTAGTAACTCCCGTGCTCATGCCTAGGAGTTATGTGATTGGAGCCCAGCCAACCAAGCAGCTGAAGGATCAAAACCTTGAAGAAGACCGGGACAAAGATGGAAACGTCGATGAGGGAGGAGAGCAGCGCTGGAGGGGATTGCTTTGGCGGGTTAGTCTGCCCTAATGTGCTAATATGCTGTGCATACTTGCATATTATGACCAAAAGCCCCTTCCGCTCCCTTTACTTCTCCTTTAAAGTGAACTTTACTTTCCTTGGATCCATATCTGCAATTGTGGCAGTTCATTTTCAAATAAAGTTGGAACTATTTTTTCTGCTCGCTTGATGCCTTACTTTAGAATGTTACAGCATACAAAGACATTTGTGCGCTTCCTACATTGTGGTAATAGTTTGGTGAAGGTCCTTTTCTCTTGCAGCATGATTGTGTCCCTGTGTACAAAGCCAACTACATAAAGACATGGTTTGATTAGTCTGGTGTGGAGGAACTTGAGTGTTCTGCACAGAGCACTGACCTCAACCCTACCGAACACCTTTTGGGATGAATTGGAATGGCATTTGAAAGCCAGGTCTTCTCATCCAACATTAGTACCTGACCTTACAAAGGCTCTTTTGGCTGAATGGGCCTAGAATGCCACAGGCACATTCCAAAAGCTTATGGAAAGCCTTCCCACAAAGACTGTTAAAGCTTAAAAGGGCATACAACTCCATGTCCTCTATTAATGGTTTAGGAATTGGATGTCCAGCATGCTTATATACTATAGGTGGGATGGTCAGGTGTCTTCAACTTTTGGCCATATGGTATAGTATTGATTAGCTAGCTTGTTCTCCTATGTTTGCACAGACTCTTGTAGCGACCTTTCATATTTGTACCATTTGGGAAGAATAGTTACATAGTATGCCATGCCTATGGAAACATTGCAGACATTGCTATAGAAAAGCGAGCCAATGATTAGCACTCTTGCCTTGGAGCACCAGGGCCATGGGCATAGTTCTCAGCAGGGACAATGTTTTGAATTTGTTTCTTCGTACTGTGTTTGTTTGAGTCTCTCACCAGATGCTTTAGTTTCCTTTCGCAGCTCAGAACATATTAATAATTTAAATGGCTTTTGTCCAAATCAAAAAAACATGAAAACAGCAAATGGAACATTTCCCTTTGGATACATTATTACAAGATCATCTACACTGTTTTAAGTGTTTAATGGATATTTGTATTTGAAACTCAATAAAACTTATATTAAATGAAAAGCCTAGGCATTTGGTCATGTGATCTCTGCCAAAGGGACGGATCAGAATGCCAGCAGCGATCATGTGACATGAGAAGTTAAGCTTTTGGCCCAGCACTGGAGGTTGCCTGGAGCAGCATTTTCTCCAGGAAAGGCAAATAATTTCAGCTCTTCTAGTTCTCTTTATGGAACCATCCCAGTAAGACATATTTTTTTATTCTTATCTACATACATACATACACTATATTGCCAAAAGTATTAGGACGCTTGTCTTTACACGCACATGAACTTTAATGGCATCCCAGTCTTAGTCCTTAGGGGTCAATATTGAGTTGGCCCACCCTTTTGCCGCTATAAGAGCCTCAACTCTTCTGGGAAGGCGTCCACAAGGTTTAGGAGTGTGCCTATGGGAATGTTTGACCATTTTTCCAGAAGCACTTTGTGAGGTTAGGTACTGATGTTGGAGGAGAAGGCCGGGCTCGCAGTCTCTGCTCTAATTCATCCCAAAGGTGTTCTATTGGGTTGAGGTCAGGCCTCGCTCATCCATGTCTTTATGGACCTTGCTTTGTGCCCTGGGTCGCAGTCATGTTGGAACAGGAAGGAGCCATCCTCAAACTGTTCCCACAAAGTTGGGAGCATGAAATTGTCCAACATATCTTGGTATGCTGATGCCTTAAGAGTTCCCTTCATTGGAACTTAGGGACCAAGCCCAACCCCTGAAAAACAACCCCACATGTGGCTGAGTTGCTTCCACTTTGTTATAATACCACTAACAGGTGACAGTGGAATATTTAGTAGCAAGGAAATTCACGGAACACCTGAATCCAATGATTTGGAGGGGTGTCCCAATACTTTTCGTAATATAGTGTGATATATATATTATTTTATATTTCCATAGTTTTAAGTGAACTTTTAATAGTTTTATACTTAAAATCCAAACTTCAGGCCAACTACTAGATACGTTGTATGGGATTGGTTTTAAATGCCGAGCATTTGCAGATCTGTCTAATCAGTATTATGATTCACGTTCCTCTCAATGCATATGCTAAAGGGTGACACCTGACTATCACACTTCTGGTATATGAGCTTGTTGGACACCGCATTCCAAGCAGCCTACATTCATCTAGAAAGGAGAACATTCAATGAACCATATCTACGGATTACGTTGGAGCCATTATGGAAACCAGAGCCCTTGATAACCGGAGGGTTCTTTTGTTACTATCACTATAGATTATTCAGCAATCAGCAAGGAAAATCAATCAATGCTTGGCTAATGCTGTAGGACAGGGGTAAGCAAACTCCAGCCTGCCAGCTATGGTGCAACTACAACTCCCATTAGGCATTTCAAGACTCCAGGGCAAATGTATGACGGGATTTGTAGTTTCACCACAGCTGGAGAACCGGAGTTTGCCTACCCCTGCTGTAGAGGAAACATTGGAAGTCAGAATGCTAACTGGTAACTGTACAGGAAGATAGCAACCTGGGATCCCCTGTCCGAAAAGAGAGCAGCAGGCACACCTTCCGCCTTCTCTACGTGACCCAATGAGATGCCGCCTGAGGCAAACGCCTCATGCTGCCTCACTATAAGGTTTACGTATACTTTAAATCTAAGCTTGTATAGCCCATTGCAGTCAATAGGGTGTGGACTGTGGTTCCATGTGGGACTGCAGCCGCTTGTCATGTCATTCTGTGTTTTGCTGAGCCTGTACAGATCCAGGGCCATTCATAAGAATCCCAACATCCATAGAGATTTAGTGTGCAGGTCAGCCAGCTGCACACGATGAATGCCAAGATAAAAACTAGAGCAAGCCAACAGGTAGGCCTGATCACCTGGACCAGTTTAATGGCAAAACTGTAATGTTTGCCTGCCATGCACCTTTACATGAAATGTATAATATTGCTTTAGTTGTGTGTGTGTGTGTGTGGCTTATGTAAGATTAAATTAGTGGTGTTGAGGTCATTCACACTTGTGTCATTCCTGTCCTTATAACACTAATCCTGTCTTTCCAGTGGTTTGGAGGTGTGGATCGGATTCAATGACAGCCGGAGCTCCGAATCCCTCCCCGCGGGGAAACGCTTCGATCTGGAGAGCTGCCAGAATTGGCTCCCCGGCCAGCCGGAGCCATCGCAGGCTGATCGCTGCGTGAGGATGGGGCCGAATGGCGTGTGTAACACCGACCTGTGCAGTGCCACGCACAATTACGTCTGTGAATACAAGCCACAGGGTATGCACCACAAACTAAGGATGAAAATGATATAGGCGATAGTATGTATTGGTTACTTATTCTAATGATAAAGTATATTAAGTTAGAATACTTTAATGTTAGAATAAATAACCAATGTACATTCTGGCCTACATTATATTATTAACCCGTTAAGGACCGAGCTTCAGCTGCTTGCAATTTTCACTGTGTGTGTTCAACCTCAATTTCCATCTTTCTCTTTTTTTTTACACCAAAACATATTATATACCGTTTTTTAAAGGACAAAAAGGGCTTTAATTCAATGTAACATATGCTTATATAAGTTTTCATTTAGCGCCTGTGGGAAGCTAAGATCCATGACGGAATTAATCTGTCATGGGTCCTTATGGCACGGACAACCATGACGGAATAATACCGTCATTGGTCCTTAAGGGGTTAAGAACCAAAATTTAATATATTGCAGCTTTTCAGTCCTTGTGAGGTGGCGGCATTAGCTTTATTTTTTTTAGGCTAAGTACATTTTCTGCATGTAGTGAAAAAATGTTAATCTTCATAGAAATCCAGGGTTTTTGTAACTTTCTGCTGAATATAGCAGTATTATTGGCATTCCCAGCAATCTTATGTCAACTACAAAATACCTTCTTCCTATATAATGGAGCTGAGGAGAGGGAGAGGTGTTTGTAGACTATAAATGCAGCCTAGGGGGACAGCACTGCTCTCCTCTATAGATAAAGTGCATGCAGCATTTTTTTTCAATACCACTGCACCGAAAAGGGCATTCCTATACCTTGCGTTCTGGTGCGGCGATCGCAACGCGGGTGGGGGGCTTGTCTGCGGTGCCATTGACATTAATGGCACCGTCACGCCGATGTGTAAAAGTTTTAGCTTCTTGCAGAAGGCTGGCTCCCTGAGCACTGGTCCTGATATCCTGTTTTACGGTAGCTCCTTTCCCTTCGATGGTCCTATAGAGCCACCTTTGTGTGTGCTAGTATGCTGTGTGTGTCTCCACAAACACAAAGGTACAGCAAGAGAAGCCATTCCTCTGCTCCTCCCTTCTCCAGGCTAATAGACTGCTTTGTCACTTGTGATTGTACTGGACACGAAGTTCAGGAAAGCGGAGCTGAGAGAGTTGGACTATTCGGAAACATGATGACTGGGCAAAAATTTAATGAAATACTTTTCTGGGTAGTGTATATTTGTTTGTCTGGATTCATTACTGAAAAATAGATTTGAGAGTTTGATACTACTATAATGTGCACAAACAATAAAATATTCTGCCTTTTACTATATGGATGCTGCCATTTTGGGCCAAAGGTGGCTTTGTTCTGCAGTTGGCGGTATTCTTGTGTGATATTGTTGGGCAAAAAAATCACACATGTGATGGAGGGCAATGTTCTGAACTATTCCACTTTCATATTTATTTTCCCAGCTGTTTCTCTGAACGCAGAATACTTTGTGGTGGGATCTTTGGTGTTTGACACGAATTGGCCTCTTCAAAATCTAACAAGAGTGGGGAGTGTTTCTTCTTCTATTGGGGAGGTGGAGGTAAGTGTACAACAGATATGTTGACCTGTTTGCCATGGAGATGGGTTCATCCTGACCTTGCAAGGTTGATCTAGATGAAGGCAATCAATGAATCGCTTCACAAGCAGGAAAGGCTTTATTACACTTGGTGCCTAACCTGTGGCCCATGGGCTGCATGCAACCCATAGGTACTTGTTGTGTAACCCTCAGACCCTAGCAATCAGTAGTGGGAGCGGGATCACTAGCTTGTAGAGGGAATGTAATGCTAGTTATCTCTAACAGCCTCAAGTAGCATTTCCCCATTATCTCACTATCTCCTACAGTAAGTCTTCAGTCTCCATTCATACTTATTGCTTGTCCACAGTCTCTGGCAGTCTTTTATAGCACTACATATACCGACTATTATGTACAACCCCTTGGTGTTGAGTCCCCCTGTACCTTGTAAGTTGATCACCACTGGTATAACCACTCAAAAGATTTTAATAGGGCGTTGGATACCAAAATGTTTGATTTTGATAGTGCTTTAAATACCAAAATGTTTAATGTTCTTGGTGTCCATAGCAGCCAACAAGGTTTTCCATACTATCTTCTCTTGCTGCATATTTTCTTCCAAATGTTTTGCAAAACAAGATCTATGCAGCCTCGTGTGTAAATCCAGCAGATATCTGCAGTCATGAATGAAGAAAGTGTTGTAAGACACTTGGTTCATATGCTTGCTACTGTATTGTTCCTTGTACAGCATAGCAATGTGGATGATAGTTCATTCATATGCTGTGGGAAGCCCTGCATTCCCCCAGTGTACCATACCCTCTTTTCTCAGCTCTCTTGTCCTATCTCGGTCTGAAAACTGATCGGCCACATCACCCATATGGAGAAAGTGTATGATCTATGGCAGGGATGCACCGATTTCGGTTTTTCGGTATCAAGTACAAATACCAATATTTTTTTTCGGTACTTGCCGATACTGAATACCAGTACCGAAAGTCCCATTAACCGCTTCAAGACCAGGTGTTTAGACCCCCTTCCTGGCCAGGCCATTTTTCAGTATTCAGCGCTGCGATACTTTGACTGACGTTTATTCCGTCATGCAACGCTGTACTGAAATGAATTTTATACCATTTTTTGGGGACAGATAGGGCTTTATTTTGGGGGTATTTAATTTGAAGCTGACTCCATGCTCCCTCGTCACCACGTGACGAGGGAGCATGGAGCTGGCTTCACAGACAACCAGGAAACCGCTGGGCTGGTAATGATACGCCACACGGCTACCTGATTGTTCGAGAAGCCAGCTTCAGGCTTCATTATTTGTAGACGAAAATTGAATCTAATTCAAGTTTGCATCACCGGTAAAGTAAGTTATTTGAAGCAACATGGTGAAGATAAATATCTTTTGTGCAGAGTATGTTTGATTGGCCGGGAAGCCAGCTCCATTCTCTCTGGTGACTAGGGAGCATGGAGCCAGCATCCTGGCCAATCAGGAAGCTGGGCGCCGGGTATTGACTCGCCGCCCGGCTTCCTGATACCGCAAGTACTGGTATCGGGATAAGCATTGGGCGCATTAGGGGCGAGTACTCGCCCAAATACTTGGTATCGGCACCGATACTAGTATCTGTATCGGTGCATCTGTAATCTGTGGTTGCTACTGGCATTAGAGAAGATTGATGGTTCACCCATGAGCCAGTTTATGACTATGAACATCTCCAGCTCTTTGCATTTTCTCCTAGGTGCTGGTTTTCCCTAGTTTGCGGTTTTCACGAGAAGTGTACATATCGGCGCTGGAGTTTGTAACTGAGGAAGTGCTAGAGCCTGTGCAGATGAGGTTCCAGGTGTATATGCAGAGCACAGAACACGGTAAGAATCCAGTGTGTACATTTTCTAGAAGATGGAGCCTTTGTGTAACAGTGTTCAGAGTTGTATGGAAAGGATTGCTTGATTATGTTTTGCCATTAACTGCCTAGTGTCCCTTTTAAAAAAAAATGCAAGATAACCCTTACTTCCCTATTTTGCTGATTGCCCTTTGACACCTATGTCCCATGAAATGATCCACCAAGAATGGAGCAGCTATAAGTTGCTACAGCAGATAACACAGAAAGCATGCCACCATCCTTTTCTGTTGCAGCAAAATCCCCCTCCCTCCTGGAGAATGTGGTCAACTATGCTCCTAAAATTATTTCCATTTTTAAAGGACCTAACATGTACTAATAACTTATCCAATCTTAATATTAGACTTTTTTTGGGAAGTGTCATTCTACCACCTTCCCATTCCTCCATTATCATAGTTTTCTGTTGGGTGATCTACGATGGCTCCAGATATTGTGGAGGTCAAATCCAGAATGTTGCTCCATTTCCAGACAGAGGCGATCTCATCCTGTATAGACCTGCCGTACATTTTCCTTCTTACATCGCAGTCATTTTCCGTTTGTTACATATTTGTCTCTTTCCACTCCTGCACCTGCGTCTAAATGGGCGGAAGATCAACCCGCTGGCTCAGATACTTGTTGAATATTTAAGATAAATCCTACATACGAGCAGCCTTACCCCCGACACAAACTTGGTAGAGATTGTGAAAAATGTGTCCAAAGTATGCAGTTACCGTGGAGATGGTGTAAAAACATGAAAATACTTCCCTGTGTTTGGAATTGAGTTAATTATTTGAATTTTTCAAGAATTCTGCAGGGAAAACACTGGGACTTTGTTAAGGGGGGGAAGGCCATGTGCAGTATGGCTATTCGCACCATGTTGGTATATAGAAATCATTCCATCAACTATTTAATATCCAAATAAATGTTTGAAAAATTAAGATTGTGTAAAAAAAAAAAATTGTGTCTAGCAGGGGTGCAACACATAAAAGAAGGTAAGCGTTGCTCTACCCTGTTGAGCTCTGTATAGCAGTTCGCAAGCGGCAATATCGCTAGTGTGATGTGGCCCTAGGTCCCAGTCACACTTGTCTGTTTGCCATAAAACACATACATTTTGCAACCAATAAATTCCAAGTCGAAATCTCTTTATTTCCTATGTGGCTGTTTCACTAAAGTCTAGTGTGCTGAAACCCTAACAATACTTCCCCATCACTTCATCTACATAACATAAATGGGGGCATGTGACCTTTTTACCTTTACTTCCAAAATGCGATGTTCATGCCTAAGTGGCCAATCGCCAGGCCTGAACAGTCATGTGGTGGAGGCGAGAAGGTCCAACACTTACCGTCACAGACATTGCATTGGGATAAGACTCATGCAACTGATAGATAAACAGAGCAAGTGGGGAGCCAGGTGAAAATGTGTATTGGGGAAGGGGGGGGGTTTTCAGAGAACCCAATCCCTTTGCCCAATTTGTTTCTCTTTAGATCAAACCAGACTCTCCCTTATTATTAAAAGTATCTTTTTGTGACTTACATTTACTATGAAATGTAATAAAGTGATTCAATATGTCTTCTTTTTCTCGTCCCTTTTGAGCTCTCTGGTTTATTATTGTTGTTTCCTTTCATCAGACTGTCCATCTCAAAGTACAAGCTCCCCACCTAGCAGCCTGCCAATAAAGGAGAGTCTCCCCGAGTGTGAGGAAGAGCCGGATTCCTCTAATTACACCAACAGTACTGTACCCGTGGAAAGCGGCTGTTTCCCGTCCAGCGAATCTAAAGACGCCACCTCCTCGTTGATGGCCCCGTCCAACAATAGCCTTCCGATTTTTACCTTGTTAAAGGAGTATCTCTTCACAATCCCTCCTGGAAATGCCACACAATATTTGGTAATCTTATGGCTTTGTTTCTGTTGAGAAAACATTTTTAGGAAGCCTAGACTGTGTAAAATATAAGGGCTGCCACTGGTGTCCTCCTTCGGAAAATGCTTTTTGCTCCACTGTCTCTGGCTTCATCACTTCGTGAGTTACTGATCAGGAACTGCGAAGTGAGAATGCCTGATTTGTATTCTTAGTCTAGCCAGAGTCTTAGGGGAGGATTTATAAATCATAGGCCCAACCATACGCAGGCCGAATGCCTTTCGCACGGCATTCTCGCTACTAGATGGAGCCAAGGCATGAATGCAGCCTACGTATGGCTGGGACGATGATTTGTGAATCATCCCCTTAGAGCACGGTAGGCAAACTCCAGCCCTCCAGCTGTGGTGCAGCTACAAACTCCATGAGTCATTGCACGACTCTGGCAATCACAGACATGACTCCTAGAAGTAGGTGCATGATGGGATTTTTAGTTTTACCGCAGCTGAAGGGCCGAAGTTTGGCTACCTCTGCCTTTATAGTATTGAAGCTACTGGAACAATATACCAGCCAGGCAACTGGCATTTTCTGAACGAGCTCCGCAATAGTAGGTTTCCCTTAAAGTCTTATTCCAGCCATTTTGTTTAAAGTTTTGGATAGAGTGAGCAAATAAAATGTTGTCTGAGGCTCTAACTGTTCCTTGACCAGAAAGAAAATGAGGAACACAACTAGTAATAAAAAATGATCGAGGCTTTAAATCTTCATTGCTCTATCTGAAACAGAATAAAACGGTTTGGCTGAAGTTAGACTTTAGGTTATCATTTGTACCACTGACCAAACTCACCTTTCTTCCTGCCTTTTTCATTCAAGTGATATATTTTCTAAGACACTGTCCATTTAATACATGGCCCTCTCCAAGATGGCCCCAGGGTAGTGGACACATTTGCTCTGCTTGTTGAATGAACATGCTCCCTTCTAGCTGATATTAGAGTTTGAAGTTTTCCTACATGATATTCCTGCCCATATATCCTTAGTTCCTCCCAGTACTCTATCTTCTGAGAAAGCTGGTGTCCATTTAATACATGATCCTCTCCAAGATGGCCCCAGGGTAGTGGACACATCTGCTCTACTTGTTGAATGAACATGCTCCTTTCTAGCTGACATTAGAGTTCCAGGTTTTGCTGCATGTCTTTCTTGCCCATATATCCTTAGTACCTCCCAGTATTCTATCTTCTGAGAAAGCTGGTGTCCATTTAATAGAGGTCCTCTAATGCCCTGTTGATTTTTAAACCACTTGCAGTAAGAAAGTGAACCACCAGTGCAGCGCATGGCAACTTTTGGAAGGCACTTGTGTACTGATGTACAACATATCCATACAATACTACAGTCTTTGATATTCATGCTTGTATTCAACTGTAAGCTGTAACACCTTTTTTTTTTTTTTAAGGCAACGTTTGAAAATGCAGGTGTTCAAATGCTTCCCAATTACCTTATTGTTCTACAACATGATGCCCCCTACAAAAGGTTTCTACATTGCCACTCCTCCAGGTCATACCACGTTTTCTACCAATCAGATTGGGTTACCTGTATTCCCAGGCACTTCCTGGGAGAAGCACTTATCAACGGCACATCTGAAAGCTGGTGGGGCCAACAAGAGCTAGATGATGGCGGGTTGTCATGCTCGTTGAGAGTGGTTGGCACCTCAAAAGAAGTTGCTTCGGTTTTCAGCGATCAGCTAAGCCCTAGTCTGTGGCAACCTGGGAAATATACAATCACAGCAAACTTTACCAACCACTTGTACGAAGCTATGCAGTATTATAGCTTCAGTGTGGTGTCACCGGTTTCTGGTCTGAGTGTCATCTATCCAACACCCCAAGACGAGGTCTACTACATTCCCAGTGATAATCCCGTTGTGATTCTCAAGATTTTCTCTGGCTCTGACTCCACCGCTTTCTGGGCTGGCAGCAACCAGACTTGGAGCTTCAGTCGGACTTGTCCCCCTAAAATTTCCGCTGTATCCACAGAATGTACCATGGATAAAGGAGACATTTCATACGCTGAGGTCAATCTGCTCGGGCTAGGGAGAGGTGTTGTGGAAGTTCTAATAACGGTACAAAACGAGATAAGTTCACAAAATATAACGTTTTTAGTGAAGATGGAGGACCCGATCAGAGGACTGAGCACAAGTCCTTACCCTCAAGCCAGAGTGCTGCTCAACACTCGAGTGGTAAGTTAAATTTATATCAAAGAGATTCTATTTGCAAATAACAGAGGATCTGCAGTTTTAACTACAGTATTATTATAGACCATCTGTACTGTGCAGAAGAGGTTTGTTTTGAGGTTAATGTAAAGCTATTATGGGTTTGGGTCAATTTTGTTCATTTTTTTTTCAGTTAAAAATAAATATATATATACACACGCAAAGCCCAGAGTTGGGGAGTCCATGCTGTTTCCTAAATTAATGGGAGCTGAAGAGCTGACAGGCTCCACTGTGTCCACACAAATGGGGTAATAAAGAATACAAAAGATTTAGCATATTTGGAATGTGGAATCCCTGTTTTTTGGGAACAATATTCCTTTTTTGGGGGGAAAAATATATGTGTATATATGCACACACATTTTGTTGTTTTACAAATAGACAATTAAATACCTGACAAAGGATTCCCAGAGCCATATTGGTTAGCTAAAGAGAGCACAGCACTAGTTATCTGCTTAAATGCGCACTTGTAAAAACTGAAACTAGAGGTGTGAAAGGAGGGAGTGAGTGAAGTCAATGCTGAATGCTTTTGACTTTTCTATGGCTTTCTCTAACTGCATGGACTGTGATTATAAGGAGCATTAAAGCCAAAGGGTCAGCGTAGTAATCAGACAACTAGCTAAGGACTAGGGAGTGCTAGCAAAGTGAGTAGCAGTGGATGGATGGGACCCCTTTTGACAGACATTATCATTTTCCCTGAGTGGACAAGTTGACCGTGGCAATGCTTTATAACTAGTCACTTTGCTATCTAATAAATGTCAGATCCTTTTTGTAGTGGAAGGGTATCTACGCGTGCCATGCTTCTTTTCCAGTGCCCCAGCCAATAAACGACGAGATGTAATCACCGTGTGCCTAAAGATAGATGATGCAGAAACTGCAGTCAGCGACTCGTTGCCAAGACGGCTGTGCAATATTTTCCTCTCTCTCCCCTCCTTTCCGGTTTCCCATCATGCTCGCACCATGTGGCGCCCTTATGTCAGGATGCGACGGCAGTCAACGAGAATTTTGCCAGAAGCGAACATGTCAGATTTTTGTTAAAAATGAAGCATGACAACGTACAAAAAACAAACCCAATGCAAAGCCTATAAACCACTGTAAACCGTATAAACATACAGAAAGCTTACTTGGCTTCCAGACTATAGCGTGCATGTGTTGGGATGTAAGGCCAGAGCGTACAAGGCTGCTTTGTCTTGAAATGGCGCAGAAAGGAACATTGTGCTGCGCATCTGCCTAAAGCTGGCAATACACCAGTAGAATGTACTTAGAGAAAAATCATATTGACAGTGATGGTGAAGAAAAAAATTCAAGGAGCGGGATGGAAAATGTTTCTCATACATGAAGATTATACAACATGTCGCATTTAGGAGTTGGTGCCGTTCATCAAAACGAGACCATTGCAATGAATGGGATCACGCCTGCCGGTACATTATTGCAATAGAAGATCCCCATTGGGATTTATTTTTTTTAAATGCATTTAGGAGGCGGCAACAGTATCGCCTCCTGCATGCTGGGCATCCGCTGCTCTATCGCCCTCTGAAAAGCAATCCACCTTCTAGTCTGTGCCCGTCTCCACTGGGGCACAGTGGAGACGGGCACAGGGTACCTAAGAAAGCATATACAAAGCCTGCCTCCCAGGATTCATTGTGTCGACTTCAGGGACCAATAGGCAGGCCTTAACACTGTCACATGGTGGGAGGAAAGAACGTCGCTAACCCTGTGTAAGCTTTCACAGAGCTCGACACAGAGCTTGCACACAGATTGCATGGGGCCGCACGGCACTGCGGGGAAGGTGAACATCAGAGGGTGGGGGTGGCCAGTGGTGACAACCTGTCACATAAATGTAACTGCTGTAAGCACCTTAAGTTTACTGTGACTGTCTTGTATCTGCACTAGGCATGTAAGCTGTGGAAAAATTTGTTTCGGTTATTTCAGGATTCGGATACGAAATTCGGTTCGGATTCGGACAAAATCCAAATTTCCGTTCGTTTCGGATGAGTTTATGAATATTCGTGGCAACTTCCACAAAAAACCATATACAGATATTAATATCAAAGCTGAAGCTCCCAGACCCGAATGGCATCCGGGATCCGAATTTTCAAATTGCATTCGGGAGCTCCTGAATGCCATTCTGGTCTGTGAGTCATATACATATATTAATAAAGCTGAGGCTCCCAGACCTGGATGGCATTTGGGAGCTCCCCAATGCAATTCAGAAATTAGGATCCCAAAAAGCCATTCGGGTCTGGGAGCCTCAGCTTTAGTTGTATATGTATATACTGTATATGGCTCGCATGTTGCCGTGACGAAAATATGTATTCAGACCCATTCGGATACATTAAACTGAAAAACAGAAAAGTCATATGTCCGATTCAGTTTAGTTTTCGAACGAAATTCGGACAGGTTCCGAAATTCGGACACATTCAGATGCATTGGGATTTGGAAAGTCGGAACGAAACTAATCGCACGTATCTAACCTGCACAGCAGCACTCTGAGAGTCTGAGCGGGGAGGGGGGGGGAGACAGCACTAAGGGCCAATCAGGTGCGATCAGTAGGGTTCTGCAAATCTGAGAATTGTATGGACATAAACGCAAATTGATGGCAGGTAAAATAGCGTTTTAATACAAGTGTTTAATCTGTGGATTTAGATGTCCGCCCCGGAGTTCAGCTTTAGTAGGAGTGCTTCCTGTCTCAGCAAGCTGTTAGCAAGCTTCAAGCAGTGCTAAAGTCGTGTGAAAGCCTGCCAAAGCCTGATAACAACTTGTTTGAAGTGAACGCCAACATTCTCATTCGAGTATTTGTTGAACAGATGCAGACTGGAGCTACAAAGTCCTTCAAGCGCTGCTCAGAGCTTGCTAAGAGCTTTGTAAACTCTGTCTGTACACGCTGCTCTTTAGACTGGTGACAAGTGTCACTGATAAAGCAGAACGAAAAAGATGAAAGCCGAAGTTTAATCTGCTTATATTTGACGTTCCTGGTTCCTTCTCTCCCCCCTCCGCCCCCCATCATCAACGTGCTAATGACATTTGTAAATAAATATTTTCTGTTTTTGTTAGGGATGCACTGATACCGGTATTTCGGTATCGAGTACGAGTACTGATACTTATTTTTCGGTACTTGCCAATACCGATACCAGACGTCCCATTTAGGAAGCCAGGCGGCGTGTAAAGACTCGCCACCCGGCTTCCCGATTAGCATGGATGCCGTCCCCATACTTGTCTAGGTGACGAGAAAGCATGGAGCCGGCTTCCTGATTGTCCGGGAAGCGGGCTCCATGCTCCCTCGTCATGAGGTGACGTGAGAGCATGAAGCCGGCTTCCCGGCCCATCGGAGAGCCGGGCACCGCGTCATTACACAGCACCCGGGTTCCTGATTGGCCAGCTTCCCGACCAATCAAGAAGCCGGGCAGCGAGTCATTACACGCTGCCTGGTTTCATGATTGACAAGGGAGCATGGAGCCGGCTTCCCGGCCAATCAGAAAACCGGGCAGCGTGTAATGACGCAGCGCCCGGCTTCCTGATGCCGGAAGTATCGGGCTAGGCATCGGAGCATTTGGGCGAGTACTCGCCCAAATACTCGGTATCGGCACCAATACTAGTATCGGTGCATTCCTAGTTTTTGTAACATAGCTGATTTTATAACCATTAATGAGCTTCTCTATGCAATGCAGACAGATGGCTGGTGGGAGTGGCCGGCAGGGGGCTGTGATGTTTTCAGTAAGCTATGTACAGCACCCTGCCAGACACTCCCACTAGCCATTTGTCTGCATTGCATAGAGAAGTACAGGGTGCTGTTCATAGCTTCCTGAAAACATCCCTGCCCCCTGCCTCAGTACTCTTTTTCTCAGGCGCCCTCTGTCCTGATGCAAACAGTGGGCGGGCTCTTGGAGGATTATGCAAATATCAAAATGCCTTTATGGGTGGGTGTCAGTCTGGAGGAGTGGTCAGGTGGTGGGGGTCCTCTCCGCACACCTTACAGCAGTCCTGGCCAAATAAGAACGGTGGTGCTCGCAATGACTATCACGGATGGCACCGTGCAAAATACGAAGTAAAAGAAACAGGTCACCAGCACTCGTTTAGAATAAATATGTCCTTTTTTAATGGACAATTGTGTCACTACAATCAACAGAGCCGACGTTTCGGGGCCGCACAGGGTCCCTTCTTCAAGGCAGTAAAATTGTGACCCAATTGGAGGAGTGGGCGTTCCTAAGCAGACTGCTCTAGGTAATTCCCACATCTTATGCTGAAATTCAAAGAAACAGGTGAACGCGTTCTGTCAGCCACTTCTACTATCAGGTGAACACTGTTACTGTTCTAGAAGCCGCTTGTTCCCCTTTAAATATGAGTTCTGTTTAATCTTCTGCAGTCAGATTTCACAGACCATCTAACAGGGTCAGTAGGAATGTACTTCCTGAAGTGTGTGCCGTGTGTTGTCCTTTGTGTCAGCTTCTTACCTCACCAATCACATTCACACGTCCAAGGCAGGTTTGAATCTGATTGGAGACTGGGAGGTACTTCTGATTACTGGGCTGTATGTTGGAGGAGACAGCATGGAGGGTGTTCCAGCATCACCAACAGACGTGTTCCAGGATCCTCAGAGGGCAGTGGGGTGGTTAGGTCCAGTACAGCTATACCCTGATATAAACACTGACTGAGCGTATAGACCGTGTCCCTTGTGTGCATCTCAAGGTTCCATTTTCAGTTCTGGCTGGAGTTTTATCTTTAGGAAATGTCACTGATCATTTGATTATTAATGTTGCTGTTATTATAAATGTCACCAGGTTTTTCTATGGCGACGTTTGCCCGGATCCATCATACCAATCGTTGTCATTCTCCCATCTCATTGTAGAACAATGTCGCCTCTGTGGAAGCCGGATCAGATGTCATATTTAAATGGACTGTGGACGACCGCTCATCCTTTACATATTACAACACTGTCTTCAATGTGATCTATCAGTCCGCCGCCATCTACAAGCTCACAGTAGGTCATGGCGGAGTTTTGTCTTGGCATCTCAGTGTGATGAATCCATTGCTCATGCTTCAGGTGTTCTCTATAATGGAGTATATTTGGTGTATTCTCAAAGTGTACATTGAGTATATCTGTCCTAGTTCAGTGTATTTCTTTAGAGGTGCACCGGAATGAAAATTTAAAAACGAAACCGAAATTTTAAAAATGTCAGACCGAAACCTACATTTTTTTCCTTTTACCTTTTTCAAATTATTTTAGTAATTTTATTTTTATTTATTTTTTGTAAACTTTTTAATATTTTATATTTAATTTTATTTATTCATTTTTTTATACAACACTTCCCCATTCTTTCAGAGGAGAGGGGACCGGAGGGAGCTCGTGTAACAATCTCCCTCTGATCCCCTGTGACACAGGCACCATGCTGATCCCTGTTTTTAAATTGCGGTCGTGGGCGTGTCTGAGCGGACGTCTAAAGACGCCCGCTCAGATCTAGAGAGCTCCGGGCCGGCCGTTTTTTTACTACGGCCGGCCCGGAGGTGGTTAAATATTTTTATGTTTTACTTTACATTTAGGTGTTTTGGGGAAATATTAGGGGTCTAAACAGATCCCTGATATTTCCCTTTTATAATAGAAATAGAGATTGAGAACACAGTCCTCAATCTCTTTTTCTGCAGCCCCTGTTATAAATGAACAGGAATCCTCTATACGGAGTGTTCCTGATCATTCATAACATGTGGACATAGTATCTTTACTATATCCTCAATCATGAATGAATAGGAGGTGATGTAGATCACTTCCCATTCATTCATAATTGGGGATATAGGCAACATACTCTGTCCTCAATTATGTACAAACACTCAGTGATCACTGATCGCTGAGTGTTTGTACCCGCTCTCCTTTCTGACAGCTGTCACAGGAGGGTGAGCGAGTGGTGCGGTAGGAGAGCCCAGCCTCCTGTGACAGCACTGAAAGCTGTCTCCGCCCACACCGCTCTCCTGATCTGTGACAGGGGGCTGAGCGGTGCGGGGAGGAGAGACGCCGGCTGCTCGAAGCGATCGGCCGCCTCTGACAGTTTCTCTCCTCCTCGCTGGGACACAGAGTAGCACACAGCGGGGAGGAGAGAATAGGATGCACCGCTGTATCCGCCAGAAAATGGCACTTTCGGCATTATGCCATAAGTGGTATTTTCAGCCGATATGTTTCGACGGCCGATATATCGGTGCATCCCTATATTTCTTTTTTGAGTATATCTATCCCAGCTCAATATATACGGTAACTTTTTATAGTATATCTGTCCTAACTCAGTGTATAAGTTGTTTGCTTGTTTTCCACAGCTGACTGCTTCAAACCATGTTAGCAATGCCTCTGTTAGTTACAATGTGACTGTGGAAAAGATGAACCCAATGCGCGACCTTAAGATCTCTGGCATCCCAGCCATCGTTACCCAGTATGATTCATTACCGCTCTCTGCAAGCATACTTATTGATTCTGCAGTAGACATCATATTTCGGTGAGTACTGCTCAGCCTTGTTCTAGTGTGTACACACACACACACACACACACACACACCGTATAAATATTTGTAGTTACACCACAGCTGGAGTGTCGAGGTTGCCTACCTCTGGTCTGTGCTGACTATTAGCCAAGCATGTGGTCATTTGTCGCTTTAACGTATTGGTTGTCATTTGATCCTATTGATCCCAGCACACGTATGCTCCATGGAGGAGTCTGTGCAAGTCTTCTAATGACGGCTCTAAATATAATTGTCTATTATATAAAAGTAAAACCATTAAGCACTTGTTAAACATTCTACTCGTTCTTTTTTTTTTTTCTTTAGACACCACATGGAGTTGTGGTCCATATGTGATTTTTTTTTTTTTTGCATGACTTTTTCAGATGGACATTTGGAGATGGCACGCAGCTTGATTATAGTGCTCGGCCGCCCTATAACCAGTCATTTTCTGTTCCTGACCCAGCCATACATATGGTACTTGTAGAGAATAATGTTACCCACACCTACCATGAAACAGGTAAGACATTTAACTCTTTGCCATGCTCAACGGGAAGTCAAGGACATGGCGTCTTTGTCATATGTCCTCAGTGATCCGTAGCTTGGAAGTCTGACTTCCTTTAGTTGTGGACTTGAGTCAGCTATTTTGTGACATTGGGTCATTGTTCACAACCCTTCAGTAAATTGATTTATTGGGGCATGATGAAGGCCCAAGGGCACAAAATTTTGTTTTTTTTTGTAAGGGGAAGGTACACTTTGGTCTACAAATGCCGAAGCTGTGGTTTGAATGTATTTAGAGGTGATGTTACAAGTCTGGTTAATGTTTATACTTATAGGGGGCTCTGTCACGTTAAAGTGGAACACTAACAAAAAAATTGATGACCAGGCTGGTTTTTTTTTTATTGCAGAAGAGACATAGTATGTCTTTTCTGCAATAAAAAAAAAACCAGGACTCTTACCTGCCTGTTTGCATGCTTACGGACAACGTCTGGCATGCACAACTCAGTGTACAATGTTTGCATGCACAGCCAATTATGGTGGTTGAAGATCTTGAACCTGGAAGAAGACTGGGCGCAGTTGTTGGCAGAGGGACTTTGGGTTGTCACATTGCTGGAGGGGAAGTGAGTATAGTTCCCCTTTAAAGAAATAAAAACGCCTAAGGACAGGCACCAAGTGCATACCTACAACAGCTTTTACCACCCTCTTATGTGTCCGGATACTGGACCATTCGTATGGGCAAAGCTCTGACACTTCCAGGTGGTGTCAGGGCTTGCAAGCTCACTTTACAACTTCCAGCCATGCCATTAAAGGTAACATGTTTCCCTGTTATAAGAGGTTTAGGTCTATCCAAGATGTGCTTGTGATTCGTTATTCCAAGCCCACCTTTTCCCTTGCAGTTTCCCTTGCAGTTGTATAGACCAAGGGTATGCAAACTTTGGCTCTCCAGCTGTAGTAAAACTACAAATTCTATCCTGCATCTGCCGCTGGGAGTCATGCCTGTGTATATCAGAGTCCTGCAATTCTTAATGGGATATGTAGCTGGAGGGCCGGAGTTTGCCTACCCCTGATAGATCGTGTCAAGTCCTGTATATTATTCTGCTAATTTTTTGTTAAGCATCCAGATTTTCCATGTGCTTTTAAACTTGAATCGTTAACATTGTTCCATCTCTGGTTTGCCTAATGTGTATTGCCTTGGCTTCTCCAATGTGGAGTTTTATAACTTAATTTTTTGTACTATTAATATTGTTCAATACTAATGTAATGAAAAGAACAATAGCTGTCAAAAATGTAACATTATATTCTTAGTAAAAGCCATAATATGTAGCTGAAACTATAAAAATAAATGTGTATAACAATAATGTGCCGAGCCGGGTAAATACATAATAATATACAATACAGTACAACTATATAACATATAATAATAAATCACATGTGTGTGCCTCAGCACTCAAATAAGCAAGGCATAAAACATGATAAATACATGCAAGCAGAAAGTCCAATAATCAACAGCCGTGATCGTGCAAAGAAAATGCGTAGACTATTCCACTGCCAATCTGTATAGGACTCCCAAGTATGCAGTTAAATGCTGGCAGACCTTCACCTCCACCCAGTGAGTGCAAATGACAAAACAGTGCTCACCTGGGGAGGTAGACCCACAGAACTAGGTCTCAATTTGCGTTTCCCTTCTTAATAAGGGGAGGGAAGCCCGTACAAATGAAGACGAGATAGTCTCCTCACATCACAAGTGTCATCATTTCGGAGGGAGAGAAAAAAAGGAGAGGACATAGTGCGCATCGTCCAGCAGAATAAAATGTATTAAATAAATATGCGTACTCGCAATATCGCAGATAAAACAGGCATCGAATGAATGTCGGATAAATCCAGCAAGGCAAATTATTGAGTGTGATGGGACGCCATCCGACTCAGCTCAGAGAAGTGATGTTGGAAGCTCCACCCTATTTTTGTTATGTCTAATACGTGACTTCGTCAGGGGTCATACTTGAATAATACATACTAAGTCATACATAGTCTTTTTCACACTCACTCACTGGCGTTGATCATTCACTGTTTTTTTTATAAAAATAAATATGATATTGTGACAGTTTTATCTTCCTAATAATGTCTATTTTAAAGTATATCTAAAACATTTTTTTTTTGTCATTTTGGACAGAGAAGGGAATGGCTAAAGCCCCTGTCCGTCTTTTTTTTTCATTTACGATATGTTCCATTGGGGAGATTTCCTTTTTCTTCCTGTCCTATAGACACAACGGGAAGTGAGGGGAAATCTCCCCAAAGTGAGAGAAATCCCATCTTAGAAGTCTTCACCAGAGCAAGAATTCCCGAAGGAAGATTACCCCTCTATGTTCTGGTGACAGCTCAAATGTTTTTATTTTCACTCATGTTTGGTTCACCAGGACACATAGACAGAATGAATGAATATGCCTAACTAATATCCCTCCCTAATTAAAAGAAAAAATGTTTGGCTGTATATACAGGGGCATCCTGAGGCTGGGTGTCACCCGGAGCGGAGACCGGGTGACACCCCGCTGTGACATCATTGCGCATGCAGGATCGTCTTATTGACGCCTGCCAGCGGCTATCTTGGTGATGGACGCCGGCAGAGAGAGAAGGGGATGTTCACCCAGCGGGATGAGGTATTCTGCCGGGCCCCCTCCTCTCTCCTGACACTGTTGCGCTCTCGGTCCGTGACCGAGTGCCCTACTTTTTACAGGGGGTGACACCAAAATGACTGTCAGTCATTTTGGTGTCACCCATCAAATGGTGGCACCCAGGTGCGGGCCGCACCACCCCTTTTGACTCCACTGTTTATATACACTTTTTAAAAGTTTTAAAATAGACCACTACAATATGTGTATATCCTTAAATGACTTTAATTATCTAATTATGTTGTATATTCTTCAGGTACCTATAATGTGTCACTGGTTGTGTTCAACAAGTACGAAAACATGTCCAAACTGATCTCTCTGCAAGTTCAGAGCATCTTGACCAACATAACTATTGAAACTGATGCTGAGGTATTGGTCAGTGGCAGAATGGTCCGTTTTCAAGCAGCAGCTGAACCCTCCTCATTTGGCGTCATCTACTCATGGGACTTAGGTGATGGTACCTACTACCATAACAATAGTGAACCAGTTGTGAATCACACGTATAATAACACCGGATCCTTCAATGTCAGTATATCGGCCTTGAATGACATCAGTGAAATAAGAGTCGTGAAGACTTTCTATGTCTATGAAGAAATTACTGGTTTAGTTGTAGAATCTGATGAGCCCACCGAAAGAGGTTTGCAGACATTCATTAATGCCTCTGTGATGAGTGGAGATGCTATCATATGGAGATTTGACATGGGAGATGGCTATATCCTAGAGGGTAATGAACCTATGGTAAACTATACCTATTCTAAAGATGGCAACTATACTGTTAATGTTACTGCACGGAACCTGGTGAACTTCTTGTCGGAGATCCTCCAAGTGCGGGTGTACGTCTTACAAATTCTTAAGATAGAGCCTTCCATTTGCATTTTAGAGAATTCGAATGTCACCCTGACCGCCCATGTTACTGGAGACTACCAAACTTATACCTTTAACTGGACTTTTGATAATGGTTCTTCAATCATCACTGTATATGGAGTCCCATCTGTGCAATATGACTCTTCGAAGAGTGGAATTTTCCCTCTTTCCCTCATTCTTTCAAGCCAAGTCAACAAGGCTTACTACTATACCAATATCTGTATAGAACCTGAGATTGTCAATGTTACCTTATTGCCTGCTCTACAGAATGTAAGTTTAGGTAACGAGAGTCTGTTTAATGTGATTGTCTTCCCTCACTACCAGTACAGATACAATTGGGACTTTGGGACCAATGGCTCAAAGTGTAACGGAGGAACGGAAGCTGGTTTCGTGTATAAAGTCCCCGGTGTATATCAGGTCACGGTGTCCGTGTTCAACAATGTATCTTTTCACAATGGGACGGCAATTGTAGATGTCCAAGAGCCCATCGGAGCACTAACTATTAAGCACAATGGAAGCGAGGTTTTGGCACTAGATGAAGTGTACTTATTTGAAGCTTTGGGGGGTGGGACAAAAGTTGAACATCATTGGGATTTTGGTGATGGTTTTACAGACCAAAGACAATCTGTAGGGCATGCTTATAATAGAACCGGGACCTTTACCATCAATCTATATGGCTATAATAGCGTAAGTTGTAACAGAACCCATTTGAATGTCACAGTTAAGACGAAGATTCAGGGACTGACCATGAATGCCACCAAAACAATAGTGCCTTTAAATGGCTCTGTGACCTTTTCAGCCTTTCTACAAGCAGGGGATAATGTTCGTTACTCATGGATATTATGTGATCGATGCTCAGCCATATTTTGCAATTCTACGATTTCCTATACTTTTCGATCTATTGGAACTTTTAATGTAATAGTGACAGCTGAGAACGAACTCGGTTCCTTGCAGAATAGTATTATTATCTATGTCTTGGAAATAATCGAAGGACTGCAAATCATCACAGGGGACTTGGTCAATGATTGCTGTTTCCCAACCAACAAAAGTCTGCCTCTCCAGGCCACGGTTAAGGATGGGACAAATATCTCCTATAGCTGGTTCATTTTGAAAAATGACAGCGTAGTTCAGACTGGTGTTGGGAGGACCTATCAGTTCATAAGTCTACAACCAGAATCTTACACTATTGTCTTAAAAGCTGTTAACATGTTGGGAAATGCAAGTGCCTCCATGAGTGTAGTGTTTGTGGAAAGCCTTGGTCAAGTTCAGCTCAGTGCTCATCCTAACCCAGTTGCAGTCAATACCACAGTCAATATTAGCATGAGTCTGAGTAGTGGTTCAGGAGTAATGTACACTTGGCATCTAGAGGAAAGTGTGGTGTGGTTCACCTATGAATCCTTTGTCCTTTACAATTTCCTAAGCCCTAATCCAAAAGAAGTGCTTGCTATTGCGAACAACAGTTTAGGTTTAGTCAACTCAGCCATCACCATCTTTGTTCAAGAACCAGTTGAAGGTTTGAGCATTACAAGCCTTGACCATAAGAGTGATTATGTACCAACTGGAACTCGTGTGTACCTCTTTGGTAGTGTGCAACGTGGTACGAATGTGTCATGGATTTGGAGTATTGGGCAGCAGGAAGGAAGGTCAGCTAACGTATTTTTTGATAAATCCGGTTTCTATACTGTCAGTCTGAATGCATCCAATGATGTGAGCTGGGAAATCACCTATAAAAATGTTACTGTCCAAGACAGAATATGTGGTTTGAAACTGCTGGTAAGTAAAATGGTGGTGGAACCTGGTGAGAGAGTCACATTTGATGTCATCATGTCAGCTGGCACTGATGTAACCTATAAGTTGACCATCAATGGTGATTTCTCCATTTTACTTAACGGCACTAGTTACACCCATAATTTTACGAAAATCGGTGGCTATCCTGTGACTGTGGTTGCCCACAACCAAGTGAGTGAAGAACGGGACACTGTTATGATTTCTGTGCTTGAAGCAATAGAGAATCTAAAAATTGTAAATTGTTGTGAGAGGGCATTGCCAGCCCGAATTGAGAAAAGCTTCAGAGCGGAGGTCAGTAATGGCTCTCTGGTTGCCTACACCTGGCAGTTTGACTTACAGGGTCATCCACCAACCAGCTTGGCAGGTAGAAACGTAACCTATACGCCAGTGGCTGCAGGTGTCCTTAGAGTCTACCTGAGCGCATCTAATGCTCTGGGAAGTCAAAACATCTCCAAAGAAATCATAATTCAAGAACTGATTGTCAGCGTCACATTGGTTCCTGTCAAAACGTTTGTCAACCGAAGTGCTACTTTTACTGCTGTTGTGGTACCCAGCTCCTCAGCTGTTCAATTTGAGTGGACATTTGGAGATAATGAATATACTTTGGAGACAAATGTTTCCACTGCTAAACACACCTACCTAACCCCAGGAGACTTTATGGTAAAAGTCAATGCCTCCAACCAGATCAGCTTTTGGATTGCTGAAATGACAATAACCACCCGGATTTTAGAGTGTGAGGAGCCAGAAGTCCAGCTGGAGTTGCCGACTCAAGTGATCATGCGGAGGTCTCAAAGGAATTATATCGAGGCAGAGATTAATTTGCGAGGTTGCATCAGCTATCAAACAAAACACCTGTGGGAGATTTATAAAGCTTCCAGCTGCTTAAGCTATCATGAGTCAGACAAAGTCCACCTACTGAACGTGGATATGAGCAGACCCCAACTTGTTTTGCCGAAACTAGCACTTGCTATTGGAAAGTACTGCTTTGTCTTCTCTGTCTCTTTTGGGGACACACCTCTCTCTAGAAGCAGCTTTGCCAATGTGACTATGAGTCCTAGCAGATTGGTGCCCATCATTGATGGTGGAACTTACCGGGTTTGGTCAAGTAGTCGGGATCTCATTTTGGATGGAAAAAAGTCTTATGACCCAAACCTAGAAGAAAATGAGCAAACTCCACTGACCTATAAATGGTCTTGTACAACCTTAACAAAGGTAAGAGATTTGTTCTCTATTTTACCTTTTTATGCTGTCTTTATCGCTCACCTTGTGTTTGGCCCTGAGTGTTATTAGCGTAGCCGGTATAGCAATAGCAAATTAAACTAAATATAAACAGAAGAGTTTTTTTAGTTTTAGGGACTGGTTAAAACCCTGGACAAGTTGCTTTATTTTTTAACTTCCTATCTTGATACAAAGCAGGAAGTAAGAACAGACAGATTTCCCCACTATTCCAGAACTAGTGACAACCTAACATATTAGATTTTCCTTCCTATTCAGCCCCTGTAAAAATGGTCCCCAGGACAAACAGAGGGAGTGTCTACAGTGGCTGCTGGAATGAAAAGGGAAGGGATGAGGTTATTTAATATCTGTATCTCGCATTATCCTTCACTGATGTTGGGTGGGGTTGTTGCTTACACTGCTCACACAAGCAGTGACTGCTGAGTTATAAGAAACTGTCAGGTGCTTAAACTCTCCAGCATTTACCAAAACTAAAATATTAGTCTTGACTGGGCCGAACCTTTAAATGGATGACTATCCTATGTATTTAGATCATCATTTAGATAATTGGCAAGGCTTTGGAAACATACACTATATTACCAAAGAAATTGTGTCGGGAATTTGTGCCAATTCCACCAAAAAAGGATTTATAGGATTAGGTACTGATATTGATTGAGAAGCCCTAAAAGTTCATCCCAAAGATGTTCAGTTGGGTTGAGTTCTGGGCACCAAGACAGAGCATGCGAGTTCCTTTGCACCAAACACATCAAGCCATTTCATTATGGACCTGGCTATGCTCCTGAACTCAATAAGTTGGAGGAGTCCTGACATATTTTTGGCCATATATTGTATTTTTTGCCTTAGAGAATGAGAGAATTTAGTATGGGAATTTTGAGAGACTCAAGGCAATGCTTTTTATAACTGCCTTGTTAGTATATGCTGTTTTTTCACCTCTTCTAACTTGAAAAGGTAAAAGATTAATGGTATATGCAGCTGTTACAAGTCTAAAGTGAAAGGCAATGTTAGCCTTGCGTTTCCCTCTTTAAACTTTAGTTATAACTGCCTGTTGGAGTGCATTTTACACAACTCTTTCTTATGCTTTCTGTTGTAATTTTAGAATTTGGAGAATACTGTTTGCAATTCAGAAGTCATGTCTGAGCTTGGTGAAGTGTCCATCCATAAGTCAAAGCTACACCCAGATGTGGAATACACATTTTTTCTGACTGTCAGCAAGCCTGGAAGACACGCTGAGTCCACCAACCAAACGGTTTGTAAATGTTTGCAATGATAAACTGGTGCTAAGAAGAGATGAGTCTGGGCTTGGTGTTCACCTGAGTACCCAAGCCCACCTAAAACTGTTACCACCACTCCCCTCTTCCGTCCCATTCAGTGGCAGCAGTTGCATCGGGAACATTACCTGCTCCTTTGTGAAGTATAGCTGCAAGTAAGGATGTTCAGACACCAAGTACCATACTCTGTACACGTACAAGGACAGATACTTTTCCAGCTCTAGACTAGACCAGAGAAAAAATTTAGGAGGCAGCTGATACATTTTTGTTGTCATGTGACAGTTTTTCTAAACAATACAGACCCATGATTTCACGACAGTGGAGGAGCGCCAGAGCCAGGTCCCAGCTGCAACCACTGCAACCCTGGTAGTTCTCGTAAAAATGCCAAGTATCGGCACTGGTATCTGAACATCCCTAACTGCAAGACAGGGAATGTGCCTCTCCGCAACTGATTTTGCTGGTTATAGTTTTGAGTGCGCTTGGGTAAAGTCAGGCAAACTGTGTTTGCACCAAGCAAAGGCTCATCTCTAGTGCTAAGGTCTCGCCAACAGGACACCTGTTATAATAAGTGCAATCTAGTGATGTTCATTGATAAGGGATACAGTGATGTTCAAGAGGCACTGCAGACATCATGTGTCCTAGAACCATTGCAGCCAATGGGAGATCATCTGTGAACCCTAGTGGAGCCAGCAAGCATCTTTTGAAGTGAACCTGTACTCTGTTAAAACTTTTAAACGTTTTGCCCAACATAAGATAACACAAAGTTCTTGCTAGTATCTGTATTAGTCACAAAAGCCTCTTTTGTACCACCCTCTGACTTAGTTTTACTTTGTTATTGGGGTATGACTTAATGACTTGGCTCCATCAAGCCTCCTAAAGCGGCCTAGCTGACCGTTGAGTCAGTCTTATGGGACAGTGAAATGGCAGTGGTCAGGACTTAGTTATAAATTCAGGAGGCCCCAGTAACAAACTGAAACTTAATCCCTGAGGGGCACAGTTGATGTTTTCCTGGCTAATAGAAGCAATAGCATGGTTCTTTTCTCAGGCAAGACAATTTAATTTAAAAGTAAAAAAAAAAAAAAGTGTACAGGTACACTGTAAGGAGCCAGGAAACATGTTTCCATTGACAGCAAGTGAAAAGTCAAAAATAACTTGTCCTCCCGTTGGTGCATTGGCTTCCTAGCTCATGGATTCAACCACATCTTAAGTAATCTCACTACAGCAAACTGAAATCTGATTGGCTGCCACGTGTTTCTGCTTTTCTTTGTACATTCTGACTGCGATTTGCTCTGCTGTGTTGGAAGACCGCATTAGCATTGCTTAGAGTACTCAAGATTCTGTAGGCAGGGCTTTCACCTTTTCTTTACATGTTTTTCTGTACACTTATCTTTAAATATTTTGAATTTTTCTATCATCTGTGTATCTTAATTTTTATCACTGTGTAGCTTGTTTGTATCACTTAAGGAGCTGTTTATAATCAAGAGCGGATTCTGCTATCCACAGGACTGCACAGTGTTTACTCCACAATGCGGTCTGCAATTTATGAGTAATTAAATAAATGCAGGATGTGGTGTGTAGCTTGTGGTGTCCACAGAGTGTTCTCTGCATGTTGCAGAGAACACTCCATGATACGGGGAGAGCTCAGATGACCTACCATGCCGCCTCCTAACACATCTCCCCATTCATTAAAATAATGGGGTCATTGTTTGCTTCAGTGGGAAGCATATTTTTAAAGCACACAATTTTTCTTTATCCTGCATTTGTTCTTGTTTATATGTGTGTGCTGCTGACTTTATTTATTCAGTTGTTTATACGTGTTTTTTTCTCATTGTGCAGGTTTTAATTAAAAAGGGCAAGGTTCCCATTGTGTCTCTTAAGTGTGTCTCATGTAAGGCGCAGTCTGTGTATGAAGTGAGTGCCAGTTCCTATGTTTACCTAGAAGGGTCCTGCACCAACTGTCACGATGACTACAGGACTGGGGTAAGTTCCTGAACACTACAACCAGATTTGACAATTTAGTCAACAATTTGAGTCTAGGTAGCAGCTGAAATCTCAGGACATGTTGTTCTAAACAGAGGTTTAAATGAGTCACAGGACAGACACCCCCTCCACTCTTAGACATGTCAGAGTTGGCTCTCTGATATCTGTTTTTCTCTATCGTCCAATGAGGGACACAGCTCTAAAGAATTCTGATACGTAGGGTTATGTTGCTGCCTCTATGGATGGACTCTATACAAACAAAGAAATTCAAAGCCTGCCACTTTAAGGACATAACCCCTCTCACCTGCCCGTTTCACTTAGTGTCCTCAGGAGAATGGATGTGTCCTTCTCTTCTACTTTTTTATTTTAGTTTGTTTAGATTCTACTACCAAAGGCTGCTAGTTGATTCGTACCAGATAATGTTAAATCCTGGGAGTTTTCTCTAGCTAGCCGACATGATTTAGAGATGAGTTAAATCCTGGGAGCTTCTCTAGTCTTCAAGATGTGGGTTGTTTCTGGTCTCCGTACTTATGATTCGTACTGCAGTGGTCTGAAGGAGAACCGTGATTAGCATAGTGGTGGCATTGCATTCTTTTTTTACATTTTCTTTTGTATGTGTCCCTTTTTTAGAGCCACAGCAAAAAATTCCCAGCACACTCACCAGCCAGCCTGCAAATAAACACTCTCTAACCACTAGGGTTAAAAACAGAGGTCTTGGTTGCACGTCTTCTGCAGAATATGTGGAAGCCACACTGCCTCGTCAAGGCCCCTCTGTGTAGTGTTTTCCTAACTCTAGTCTCTGAGAGGCTCCATTTTGGAGCACACAAGGAACGCATTCATCAATTAATTACCAGCTTTAAAGCAAGGTGCACATGGAAGGGCTTTAAACAGTACAACAGCAAAAAGTTTCCCAGCACACTCACCAGCCAGCATGCAAAAAAACACTAACTACTAAGGTTTAAAACAGAGGTCTTAGTTGCACGTCGTCTGCACCTTTTTTAGAGCCGTCTTTGGCCTGGCCATATAACATCCTGGAGGCTCCTTTTGCAGCACTGTTAGGCGGTCTTCATGGATGCAAAAAAAACGCATCACATAGTGACAAGAGTGCTGTTCTTTGCGTCAGTCTGTGAGTTCAGGGCAACTTGGTGACACACCCCAAGGCATTTGTCTTTCACCCCATGGGCTCACAGAAAGTGGGGAGTTGGGTCATTCATCCTAACAGAGGAGCTGTGGCTGAGACTCGAGGTGATTGCAGGGTGCAGCACTAGAGCATTGAGTTGGTGAATACTGTTTTGGACAGGGGGTAGGGGGTCTAGTGGACTTGGGCTTTAAGAGTCTGCAAATATAAAAATGTGGGTGAGCAGGCAGAAAAAAAACTATACGCCCAGCAGGACTTGCTTTTCTGTTTAATCATATCAAAGTGTCTCTATTATAGAGGTGGACCGCTCAGAGCTTCAGAAACAAGACTTTAGTCCTCAATTCCACCACTACCACCACCGGAGACCGGGAGATGAACCTGGTGCTCAGGCAGGGAGTGTTAAAGGATGGAGAGGGATACACATTCACTCTTCATGTCAGTGATCCCACAATGGAAGAGGAGGGCTTGGCTTCCATTGATCTGCTCCCCAACAGTCCACCGCTTGGAGGAACCTGCAGAATCTCTCCCAATGAGACCATTCATGCTCTGACCACACTCGTCCACTTTAACTGCACAGGTATGTTTAATCCCATTCCAGTCAATGTTGTTATGCGTGTGCTCCAGCTGGCTACGTTATATGGGCAAAAGTTTGTGGGCACCTGACCATGACACCTACTATATGGCCAAAGTATATGTGGACACCCCTTGAAATGAATGAGTTCAGGTGTTTTCAGAGAATTGTACAGTTAATGCTAAAATATATAAAGACATTTTAGACAGTTGTGCCCTTCCAACCTTGTAGCAAAAATGAGGGGAATGCCCTTTTCTGTTCCAGCATTTGTCCTTGTGCAAAAAACACCTCCATAAATACAGGATTTGAGGAGTTTAGTCTGGAGAATCTCGAGTGGCCTGCACAAGACCCTGACCTAAATCCCTCTGAACACATGTGAGATGACCTGGGATGCCTATTGCAGGCTAATTCTTCTCATCCAACATCAATACCTGACCTCACGCATGCCATTTTGGCTGAATGGGCACAAATTCCCTCAGACACACTTCAAAATCTTGAGTGGAGGTGGTTGTGGTTGCAAGGAAATGGGGTCGGCTCCATTTCAATGGCCATGGATGTAATATGGGATGTCCAACAAGCTCATGTAGATAGTATGGTCAGGTGTCGTGTCCACAACTTCTGTCCACTGGCATATGAGAGAGGGGTGTGTGTGTGTGTGTGTGTGTATATATATAGATATAGATATATATATCTATATATATATTTTCAGCCAAAGCCTTGCAGTGTTTTTTTTACAATAGTTGAGCAAGGGGTACAATTTGGCTCCATCACCAGTAATGGGAAAGCCCAGAGATCGATGGGGGAAGTGTCCCCACTTTGGTACATGCGTTTTCCTTTTTTTGTGGTTTTGGACAGAGTGAGCAATGGCCCTGTGAGGTTTTTATTGAATTTCTGTGCCCATTAGGTACATTTTCCCTTCTGTAAAGTCACCGAGGCAGGACTAAATCCTCAACTGCTACTCTTGTGAATTTTAACTTTTCCTGGCTTTCTGAGGAACTAATTTGTTTAGTAAATGAAAGCAGAAAATTGATCTTGACCTTTTGGTAATGTGCACTGTAACAGATGGATAAAGCCCCCCATGTGACAGTGTAAAGTGAGGGCAGAATGGTAATAACTGGTGGGAAAAGAATCATCCTGTATATGTTTTACCTGAAGCTCTGTGGTACATACTGGCACAGACAGCCATATGATGTATAATGCTGGGCGCTGCTCCTTTTATAGGTTGGAGAGATACAGAAGATGAGGTGGGCCTAGTGTTTATATTGAGAGCTAAACGCTGCTGGGCCGGTCACTGTGATGACTTCTGGGTGTACAAGGGGAGCCGGTCAGAGCACAGCACTTTCCTACCTGTTGGCTACAATGAGACCAACTTCGTGGTGGAGCTTTCCATACTAGTACAGGACCAGCAGGGAGCAACTGCGGTGGCCTTAAACCAGTAAGTAGAGTATCTAACCTAGTCTGATCTATCTGTCTATTTATCTGTCTTTGTTTGTCTAGAACTGTCCCTTTTTCTTTTTGCTTTTTTGCTTGCCTTTCCTAATATCCGCTTGTCCTTTTCCCTTTATTTTCTCTTCTCTCTTTTTTTCCCTCAACATGCTCTTCCCTCAACATCCAATCATTTTACCTCTTCACTTTAGTGCTTCTTCCTTTCCTTCTGCCTTTTTATCCTTTGCCTTTTCCCTCCCTTCTCTTCCGTCCTTTAGTCCATTTCCCTTCACTGCCCTTCCTACTCCTCTTTATTTCCATTTTTTCTCTTCCCTTTCCTGCTCTTCAGTGAACTTGTACTTTGCCTTCAGTTCTACTTTATTTGCCTTCCCTGCATTCTATTGTCTTTTCCTTTCCCTTTCCTCCTCTTCTCTCTTCTTCCACCCTTTTCCATCAACTCACATTATTTTCTCAATTTCTCTGCCCTTCCTTTCCCCTTCTTTACTCCCATTCCCTCCACATCTGCTCTCTTCCTCACTATTCTTTCCTTCTTTTGTCTTTGCTCATGTCCCTCTTGTCTTTCAAAGACAATGGAACAATTCTGAGACTTCTTATCTGTGTTAACACCACCTAATGTGTTCCTTCTTTCTATTTTTTCTCCAGGTCCCTGGTTATTTCCATGCCTAAGATCCCAGAAGGCTTCCAAAGTCTTGGTCTTTGGTTGCACAACCTAACAGACAGCACCCTGCAGGGTTTGCTGAAACAGGGAGACCCCCAGTATGTGGCTGAGTATTCCTTGGCTCTCATAACAGTTCTCAATGAGGTAAAGACTCATATGTTGCTTTCATTGATGCAGTTGCTCTTCAGGCTGGCTAATGTATAGTGTTTTCATGATGGGCAAATATCTTCTTCTTTTTTTTTACCATCAGTATGAACAAGCTGCGAACAAAGATGAAGAAATCAGCAAGCAAAACTTGGGAATTGTACGCAATAAAATCACAGATGCCCTTATATCCTTAAAAATCAACACTGTGGATGACATACGTCAGATAGCTGCTGCATTGGCGCAGTGCACGGTAAGAAATAATAGTTGTGCAGTGAAGGTCAGAACTTGCTGTGAGTGTATATGTAAAAGCAGTACAGGGAATGCAGGATGAACTGTAAACTGTCACTATAACTGAGATGTCAGTCCACCCAAAAGTGATAATTTATACTGTAGATCAAATTTGGTGGCCTGAATCAGCACCTGGCTTCTTATATGCCTTGGATCCTCCAGCATTGGGATCTCCCTGCTATAATTCTTAATTTTGTTCCTATCCAAATACAGAGATGAGCTGGTTTAAAACCTGAGGCTTGCATAGCTTATGTATAAAGATATTTCCAGGTAGACTGAATGTATATATTTTATATGCAGGCTAAAAAGGGAGGTCTCAGTGAGGGTTTATAACGCTGGAGTTGTTCTTTAACTCTTCAGCATCTCCCAGAATCTGAAATATCAGAGTTTGGGGTGGACTGACCCTTTAACTATTATGGATTACAACATGCAAATTTAATATAGACTAGCAACCCTTATGAAAAATACATTTGTTAAAATGAATAGAATATAGGTTATATCTGCAGAATAGTGATGTAATTGTTCTGTAGTCAGGCGGTAGGCTTTATCCTGATTGTTGCTGCTTGTAAGGCTTCAAATAACAAGCCTACTTTGTTCCTGGCTTTGTCGACGGAGTAGAGTTATTGGAGTTCTTTTACTGTTTCTAGGTGGCCAGTAAGCAGCTGGCATGTACATCTTGTCAGCGGAAAACTCTGAGCAAGCTGGAAGCTATGATGTCCATCCTTCAGAATGAGACCACACAAGGAATGATGACTCCTACCACAATTGCAGATAATATTCTGAACATCACGGGTAAGAATGTTCTAAGAAATTTTTTATGCAAAGTCTCTTTTTACGTTTATGGCCTTGATTGACAGCCAGCAACACTGCCAAGGGTCTCTGAGCCAATGCAGAAACAGTTTTCTGACACGTCACATGGAGAGCACTCCACTTGGAAATTTTTTCACACCCATGCCATTCCAGTGGCCAGTAGAGTGGCTACCCAGTGGAGGGGGGTGGGAGAACTTGCAAAACCTTTGTAATGTAAAAAGCAAGGCTTCTCCTTCTCCATGTAGCCAGGTTTCAGAAAGACTGCTATAAAGCTAGGGAATGGATTAGCTCAAGGTCTTTACAGTGTTCTTCCCCTGTTTAGGCTCCAACATCAACTGACAGCTTAGTCAAAGGGGTTGCCACAGTAGGGAGGTTGCAAGGAAGCATGATTCATCAAGTATAAAAGGGGGGGGGGGCCGGGGGGAGA